CTCTTTAAAGGTTTTGTAAAACTCTGCTGTATACCCATCTGGTCCTGGGCTTTTCTTAGTTGGTAGTCTTTTGATGGTTTCTTCTATTTCCTCAATTGATATTGGTCTGTTTAGGTTGTCTATATCCTCCTGACTCAATCTGGGCAGATCATATGACTTAAGAAATTTATCTATGCCTTCACTATCTTCTAATTTATTGGAGTACAAGGATTCAAAATAATTTCTAATTATCTTCTGTATTTCTGAAGTGTCTGTTGTGATATTGCCTTTTTCATCCCGTATGCTAGTCATTTGAGTTCTCTCTCTTCTTCTCTTCATTAGCATGGCTAAGGGTCTGTCGATTTTATTTATTTTTTCAAAGAACCAACTTTTAGTTTTGTCAAATTTTTCAATTGTTTCTTTTGTTTCGATTTCATTAATTTCAGCTCTGATTTTAATTATTTCTTGCCTTCTACTTCTTTTGCTGTTGTTTTGCTCTTCTTTTTCTAGGATTTTGAGATGAAGTATGAGATCATTTATTTGTTGGTTTTTCCTTTTTTTAAGGAATGAACTCCAAGCAATGAATTTTCCTCTTAGAACTGCTTTCAATGTGTCCCATAGATTCCAATATGTTGTGTCTGTGTTTTCATTTATCTCTAAGAATTTTTTAATTTCCTCCTTGATGTCTTCTATAACCCATTGATCATTCAGTAACCTATTGTTCATTCTCCAAGTGATGCATGATTTTTCCTTCCTTCTTTTATCGTTGATTTTCAGTTTCATTCCATTATGATCAGATAAGATGCATGGTATTATCTCTACTCCTTTATATTGTCTAAGAGTTGCCCTGTGACATAATATATGATCTATTTTTGAGAAGGATCCATGTGCTGCTGAGAAAAAAGTGTAACTGCTTGGTGTTGGGTAGTATATTCTATATATGTCAATTAAGTCTAGGTTATTAATTGTGTTATTGAGTTCTATAGTTTCCTTATTCAACTTTTGTTTGGAAGATCTGTCCATTGGTGAGAGAGGTGTGTTGAAGTCTCCCATGATTATTGTATGGTGGTCTATTAGACTCTTGAACTTGAGAAGAGTTTGTTTGATGAACATAGCTGCACCATTGTTTGGGGCATATATATTTATGATTGTTATGTCTTGTTGGTGTATGGTTCCCTTGAGCAGTATGTAGTGTCCCTCTTTATCCCTTTTGATTAACTTGGGCTTGAAATCTATTTTATTTGATATGAGTATGGACACTCCTGCTTGTTTCCGAAGTCCATATGAGTGATATGATTTTTCCCAACCTTTCACCTTCAGCCTATGTATGTCTTTTCCTATCAAATGCGTCTCCTGTAGGCAGCATATTGTTGGGTCTTGTTTTGTGATCCATTCTACTAGCCTGTGTCTCTTAATTGGTGAGTTTAAGCCATTAACATTTAGGGTTATTATTGAGATATGGGTTGTTCTTCCAGCCATATTCGTTTATTTATGTTACTAAACATGGTTTGTTTTCCTCTTTGATCATTTTTCCCCCCTTTAGTGTCCTACCTCCCATTGTTGGTTTTCATTGTTATTTTCCATTTCCTCTTCCTGTAATGTTTTGCCGAGGATGTTTTGAAGAGATGGTTTTCTAGCTGCAAATTCTTTTAACTTTTGTTTATCGTGGAAGGTTTTAATTTCATCTTCCATCCTGAAGCTTAATTTCGCTGGATACACAATTAAAAATATGGAACGCTTCACGAATTTGCGTGTCATCCTTGTGCAGGGGCCATGCTAATCTTCTCTGTATCGTTCCAATTTTAGTATATGTGCTGCCGAAGCGAGCACATACATTTTTATTTTATTAATTATATCATACAGAGGGACTTTTAAAGATCCTCCCATCTTCAGTGCATAATTTATTAATTTGTTTATGGATAATATACGTATGTGAGCAGGACCTTAATTTGTCTTGATCATCCCTGTATTTTTAGCCAAGAGAACAGTGCTTTTGATACAGCAGATGTGCAATATGTGTGTGTGTGTGTGTGTGTGTATTGGAAAACTACATTTTATAGTATTAATCATTTCATTCAGCAACTATTATGTATATCTACGATGAACCAGATTTGCTACATTAGGTATCATTGCAAATAAGGCATGCATGTTCACATGTTCACTGTTCTCATTGGAGAGAAAGAGCAATGCACTTAGAAAATAAAAATACAGTGAAATGATACAATGGAAATTACAGTTGCGGAGACAATGCACGATACTGGAGGATCAGTGGTGTAAAATAGGATGGTGGCACGAGGGATAGAAAATGTTCACTTGATGAAAGAACCGAAAATTTTGCCATTGTTTGAATGCTGGGGTCCAGTGCCAGGAAAAGAGGAGTGGGGGGTTAACTGAAATCACTCATATAAAAGGCTGAGTGGCTTTGTTGCCATTTGCAAATGGGACAAAGTAGAATAGGAATCTTGTGGAAAGATGATTTTAGCTTTGGACGTTGAGTTTAAAGTGACTGAAGATTTCAGTAGGCAGTTAGGGGAGAAGATGGGAACTCGGGAGAGTTATCTAGATTTGAGAATTTGATGCAAGAAAAATCATGCTGTAGATAAAACCTAAGCCGTGGAAGTGGAAAAGACAGCCCAAAGAGCATCTGAGTGTGTCTAAGAATCAATTTCTGAAAAATCTCCATTATTCTCTCACTGTGGATCAACTTCATGGATGAGTGTTTAATACTTAAGGACATAGACTCCAAAGGATGTGCTTGCTTTGGAAACAACATTTATTACTGACAAAGGAGGATCATTTCTAGATTAAGAGGATTAAAGTTATTAAAACAGTCACTTATCAGTCCTAAGGATTATTTTCACAAATACTCTGGGTATTTGTCAGTAACAATTCCTTTCATAGGCTGGCTGTTGATCCACTTTGAGATGTGATTACCTGGAAACAAAGACACTTGCTGATTGATGTCTTAAAGTGAAACTCATCTCTCGAAATGGGCATGCGCTTAGGGATCCCAGACTGGCCAGCATTGCATGATAAGTATTTCCAGCATGAAACTCTCCAGCTCAGAGCTGACCAGGATACAGGGAAATAGAAAAAAAAAAAAAGTGTGTGTGTGTTTTTAGCTTATACTATTTGATTAAGATATATGTTAACTAGGGTGATTGAGGGTTTCTGAGCTGCAGGGATCAAGTCAGTAGATACGAAAGGGGCAACTTGGAGTGTGCTACTCCTTTAAATTAGTCATTTCAGGGACCATCTCAGACTTCAGAGCTGCTGTTCCTGGAGCCTTTAATTTGCTTTAACTCTACCTTTAATCCTCACATAAATCAAATGGACTGAATAAGTTTTCATCATCTTGACTTGATCATTTGTAAGTTTCATACTCTTAATAAAGTTAAAGAAAAACTGTGAACTCTACAATTTGGGTTACAATTTGGAATTTCTCTATTTTACTTGGTTATGATTTTGTATCTCTACGAATAAAAGTTTCAATAAAGTAATTCTACTTAAAGCAAAATGCGTTGCTTCTTCACTTGTTGGCAAGCTCTAGGCTTAGCCTTTGCAAGCTCACTTGGTTTTGTCAAGGATTCCATGTGGATTATGTCAATTCAGTTTTACACATAAACACACTGTGCCTGAGAGAGATCAGGAAACTTTTTAAATGATCATAGAGTTTATGATAGACCTGCCTTGACCTTAACCTGTGCTCTTATCACTGAACATACTGACAAACCATCCTCAAAGTGTGTTTCCTCAAAGCAATCCAAAGAAATCGTCTGATTACTATACAAAGAGCCCTGAGCCAATCTCTGATACCTCACAGGCACATAGAAACTTCCTGGTCAGTGGCATATGTGTCGCTGCAGAAGAAAATATTGAAGACCCTCTCTTCCTGAATTTGATGTCAACCCACAATGATTTTTGCCCCAATTTATGACTGACAAATAAAAAGAAATAAAGAAACCACCTTAGATTTCATTTTAGCTTTAAAAAAAGCACATCAAAAGTGAACCAACCTGAAAAATCCAGTCAATACTTTTTCTTCATTCTGAGCCCTCAAACCCTTGCTGTAGTCTTTCCCAGAAATTTTTGGAGTTGGCCTGAGCTAACAAATTAGGAGCCCTCCTGAGCCTTTAGGAAGATAATACTTCATTATTTATTACTATATATGCAAGGGAAAGACAGCCTAAGCAGAATTAATGGCCATTTCCTGCCATGAAGTGTCCAGAGCCACAGGGTGTCCTCATGCTGTGCTGACTCCACCAATCCCCATTCCTCAGGCAGCAAGCCACATCTTGTTGCAAGCTGCCCATTTGGACTAGAAAGGCTACATTTACTATCAGTGTTTTCATGAACATTTATTTGAGGAAGCTTTGTTTCTGGCAATGAAATATCTATCCGTGGGTCTTCTCTATTGTTTTCCCAGCAAGAAAGGTTTGTTTATTACACTGAGTAATTGTAGTTCTGGCTCTGTAAAAGCAGATGAGAGCATTGCAGTAGAACAGATAAAAGCATTACAAAGATTCAATGCTATTGAAAACTTTGAGTAAGGCTTCATTTGGTTCCCCTCAGAGCAGATCTCTGGTGCTAAAAGCATCAAAGTGGGCTATTTGTGTATCTACTGGACTGTAGGGGGATCATGAGCAAAAAGCAAAGGGAATGGAAGAGACTGACTCACTTACATTACAATCATCCATGACTTTCATTGCCCCAGATGGATTGATCTTGTTTGGAATGGGGAGGAGAAAAACACTAAAGAAGCAATGTAAGAGATTTATTAGAAATAGATGGTCACTGTTGACACTAATCAGCTTCGTCTGATGCAAATTATTATTATATTTTTCCTCTTATAAGAACATTTGTCCTCCTGAAGCAGCTTGGAAAGTGTCAGAAGTCCACCAGCAATCCCATCTTTACTCTGTGGACTTGTTACTGAACTCAGGTCCTTGGATTGAGAGTTAATAATTGAAAACTGAACCCAGAAAGAATTTAATACAGTTAAGGCTTTACTGGGGACTTCTGTTCAAGTCAGAAGTGAGACAGCGTGGACCCAGTGTTTCAGGCCAGCTCTCACAAAAGACAAGGTATGCAGCTTTTATGGTGTCCTTGGGGTAGGAGGAGTTCCTTGGTTTCTTGATGTGGTCCCATGTGGAGGTGAAATTTCTCTTCTTCATGATTGCACATGGCAAGTCTTACTATCTGTAAGTTTCCACATAGAGGGGTGTGTTTTACTATGTAAAAGGTTAACTATGCTTTACTTCAGAGACAATGCTATGTATGTGTTTGCCCCTCTCTGCCTGGAATTTGCCCTTCATTATCTGGGTAAGTCTCTGATATTATTTTCAGAGTGGGGCACACTGTTATCCTGTCTCAGTGGCCTTGTCTTGGTGATTTTGCTTTGTCTGGCTCCAGTTTCTCTCTGCTGACCATATAATCTCAAAAGCTGAGCTGACTTTTCTGCCTCCTATCTCCACTCTTGTTATCTACTCCCATGATAATAATCAGAAAGGGCACGCTTCAGAGAATGGCCCACAGGGTGGCACCATGCCAGAGATCATCCACACACATACACATATACAAAGTGGGAGAGTTGACCATCAAACAGAACCCATATGTGATTTGTAATGCAAGTATGATTATTTAATGCACAGTTAATTTTATGCACATATTTTTTTTATTCTCTGACAAACCCACCATCACTATATATTTTAAAAAGTTCCTGATAGGGTTATGGGTTAGGAACAGTGTGGTAGGTAGAAAAAGAGCTCGTGTCTTCTCATCCAATAAATTCATGGTCTTCTTAGGCTCAGGAAGACATTATGCATTAGTTCCTAGGGACATCAAAAGGACTCCAATGAAGACATTCTGATTCAGCATGAACTATCACTATCAAAAGCAACTGCCTACCCAGAACCAGAGATGATGCACTGTAATAAGCAGAGGAAATAGAGAGATAAAGAAGAAATGCCACAGAGGAGGAAGGGCAGGAATAAATGCCTTAGGGCCACGAACACGCAGGAATAGGGGATGAGGTTGAGATCTAGGAAACCTCCTCTACACTGACAAGACTAATGAGGATAACAGTAATTGGGCTCAGGATACAGGAACTACTTAGGTGTGAGGTTGAATCCCTGGACTTTCCCTGGGGGAAGGTCCATCTTCCATGCAAGTCCAGGCCCTTCTTCACAGTGGTGCTTGATGTGGCAAGCCTGACTTCCTTTTCTAATCTCATGACCAATAAAGAATGGAGCCTTTTCTGTGACTGTGGCAGCATCATTTCTCACTTTTGTCTGTCTCCTGGCAAATCACTTCATGCTCTAACAGGTCATGCAGCCAGCATTGACTGCACCTTGCTCACCAAACCAGTCAACAGCCGGTTTATCTACCTGGTGTGAAAAGAATCCTTATTTGACAATTTCACTCTCAATTCACCAACAGCAAAGCAATTACTTTTGTCTTTCCTAGTAAAATTTCCTTTCCACAGGGAACAGTAATCTCAAGGAATAATCTAATACCTTTGAAGTTTGAGGCTTCTACTCCACAAAATTTTTTATGATCCTAACATTATCTACGTATGTTTGCTAATTGACATAGGAGATTGACTTCAGGTTTTTTGTTTGTTAACCTCCTAAATATCAGAAGTCATTCCGGTCTGATACTCCTCGATATTTTTAACTCTTAGGTGGGTTGACCAGCAATTTCCTTGGGAACAGTAGTTGTTGATACCTATCTTGTGTCCGTTCTTATACTCAGCTAATTCTTGACTCTTGACTCTTCAAATTCAGATAAGAGAAGCAAAACAACCAATAGAGTCTCAGACTCTCCTCAGCTATATCTTTTCCTTCAGAATCTCTGAAGTTTGAAAGTGCTTGAAATATCCACCTTCCTTCAGGCCTGACAGGAGGGCCTGCAGGATGGGGTGAAACCACATCCTCAGCACTTGTGGTTAGCATTGCCAAGCTACTGGGCCAGGAAACCAAGAGCCAGGGGCTTCAGGGCATGAAACCCTGACTCAGTAAGGGCCAAAGACCCTTCCAGATTGCTTTCCGCCATGACAGCAATATTTTAGAGTTTCCTCACAATGTGGTTACATCAGGCAGAAGATGATTGGCTTATGGATATTGTCTTGCTTATGTATGATTGACAGGAACACCCCACTCGAACCCTATAACAGTTGTATACATTCCAAAAATAAACTGAGCTACTGGAAGACGACCTGAGGTGGGTCTCCAGCCAGTTCTCTCACCAGCTCCTGGAGTCTGTATGTTGATTCTGTGTCTCTACCTCCCGCGACAAGGTAGCCGAGTGACCATCGGCCATGAAGGGACTTAGGAACACATACACTTTCTCAGATTAGTTCTTCCCCATGACCTTTCCTCTGAGGCTGTGCATCACCAACCATGGCATCTCACACTAGCTCTGGGCGTACAGTTGGAATGACATGCACAGTGGTGCTATTTTATAGGCAGGGCATGTGCACAGGCTTAGAAGTAATGATTACACCTACTTATTTGTGTTTACTAGTATTATTTCCTAAGCAGTTTCTAGTCATTTTCAGTTCCCAAGACACTTTCAGGTCACGGAATCTTAGATTATAGCAGGAACTCTGCCCATAAGAAATTTGTTTTGCGATTCCTTGAGGGTACAAAGTGAGAATAAAAAAGAAATAAGAAAGCCTATACAGAGTTAAATTCATGCAAATAGAAACTTCAGTTCATTGAGGTTTAAATGGAAAGTCAAACCAGATTATAAGATAGTTTTGCCACCTAAGTTATATATAAAGGCTTTTTAAAATGACTGTGATAAAATATAAAAATGCAAAATTTACCATTTAACCATTTTTTTCTGTACCATGCAGTAGTGTCTGACTACAGATGATGGCAAAGACATACCTCTAGGAAGAAAAAGGGTGGGCACTAAGATTCCCAGACTAAGCCCTGGCTTCCTTCTGCATGCGCTCCTGCACTTGCTTGCTTGTTCTCTCTCACTCTCTTTGCTTTTCAGAATTTGTTTACAAAATAAGAAGAAAAAAAAAGAGAAGATTTGCAGCATTTGCAACATTAGAAGAGAATTTTGTACTATAATTATTTAAAATTTTAAAGTATATCTGCTCTGTTTCCATGTTTGCACTTAATGATTCTGCCATATTTGGATATTTCCCTGTTAGGGCAGATCTGTATTCAAGAAAAATTTGAGACTTGCTGTTTTGGTTTTAAGATCTTTATTAAAACATTTTATTACATTTACTAATGCATATGAATTGTTAAAATGCATTGGTTTCCCAACTACATGGCCATACATGCACTTGTTGGGCTCTGATCACATACACCCTCCCTACTGTGCTCTCTTATCTTCTCCTCTTCCCTCTCCTTTTCCTCTCTTGCAGCCCCCTTCTCCTTCCTTAATAGACCCTCTATTATTTCCAGGATGTTTTAAATTTTGCTTTATTCTAGTTCCCCACAAATGAGAGAAAACATGCAATCTTGTCTTTCTGTGTGTGTGTGTCTGTGTGTGTGTTTTCCCCACTAAACATGATGACCTCGGTCGCATTCATTTCCCTGCAAAAGACATGATTTATTTTTCTTTATAGAGAAAAAAAAAAAAAAACTCCAATGTGAGCTGGGAATGTGGCTCAGTGACAGAGCGTTTGCCTTTCATATGTGAGGCACTGGGTTTGATCCTTAGCACCACATAAAAATAAATTAAAAAATAAAGACATTGTGTCCACGCATAACTAAAAAAAATTTTTTAAAAATACTCCAATGTGTATAAATACCATATTTTCTCTACATATGTAGCTATTGATGGGTATCTAAGCTGACTTATAACTTGGAAATTGTGAATGGTGTTGGAATAAAGTGGGTTTCTCTTTTGTATGCTGACTTCATTTTCTTGGGATATATACACAGGAGTCGTATGTCTAGATCCTAAAATAGTTTCATGTTCAGTGTTTTGAGGAACCTCTATTCTGTCTTTCATTGCAGCTATACTAAATATATTTCCACCAACAGTGTATAGGGTTTCTATTTTCCTGCATCCTCACTAATATTTGCTACTTTGTTGTTGTTGTTGTTGTTTTGGTAATATCTATTCTGACTGGGGTGAGATGGAATTTCAATGCAATATTAATTTGCATTTCCCTAATGGCTAAAGATGTTGAGCACTTTTTCATATATTTATTGTTTATTGTAGTGTTAATTTTTTTAGTTCTTTCTTCATTCCATATATTAGTCCTCTGTCAGATGAATCTCTGGCAAAGATTTTCTGCCATTCTGTGCAAAGGCTCTTCACTTAGCTGATGGCTTCTTTGCTGCACAGAAGCTTTTTAAATTTGATGTAAACCCAGTTCTAATCTTCATTTTTATTTCTTAAGCTATTTGAGTTCTGTTCAGGAAATTGTTGCTTATGCCAATAATTTAACATATTTCCCCTATTTTTTTTTTTTTTTTTGTGTGTGTGTGTGTGGTTGTTCGAAGCTTTGGGCCTTATATTTCAGTCTGATCCCTTTTGAGTTGACTTTTGCACAGGGTAAGAAGATAGGAACCTACTTCAGTCTTCTACATGTGGATATTCATTTTTTCCAAATACCACTTTTTGAGCAAGCTGCCTTTTCTCCAATTTATGATTTTTGACAAATTCATCAAGAATCAGATGGTTGTAGATGTGTAGATTCATTTCTGGATCTTCTGTTCTGTACCATCATTCAAAGTGTCTATATTTTTGCTAATATTGTGTCTAGTTTTTTTTTTTTTTTTAAACCATAGTCCTGTTGTACAGTGATGCCTCTAGCACTGCTCTTTTTGCTTAGGTTTGCTTTGGTTTTTCTGGGGTCTTTTGTGGGGTCTTTTAAATATTAGGATTTATTTTTCTAGTTATGTTAAGTATCATTGGTATTTTGATGGGGATTTCATTGAATCTGTAGATCACTTTGGGTTTTATAGCCATTTTAACAACATTAATCCTCCCAAATCATGCACATAAGAAATCTTTCTATGTTCTAGTATTTTTGTTTAATTTATTTCTTCAGTATTTGTAATTTTCCTTGTACATGTACTTTACCTCCTTGCTTAGGTCTATTAATCTA